CCGGGGATGGCGTATAATCCCTTCGTGAATGAAGAAGCCAGGGAAGCGTACTTCGACTATGAGCAAGTCATAGTACTCAATTTCTGGGTCGAACGTATTAAAGAAACAGGAATGCTGATGGTGGAACAACCCAAGCTGGGAATTATCTTGGAAGAACGAATGGTCGAACCCTCGGTTCCCGAGCTAAATGGGCAAGTGAGTTTTGATTGTGGTTCTTGGGACGGTCCCTTGAAAACCAGTCTAGTGACGATGTGGGAACTCATGAAGCCTTCTTGGTGTCCACATCCTAACGCCGGTTTAATCTGGGACATGACGGCGGATATCACGTTAGACCTAGATGATGACGCGAGTTTACATGATCTGGCCATGATACATCATCTGCTGGCCATGAGATTGACGAAGAGGAAGAGCAACCCATCCACGGAGCTGTCCGAGGAAGGTCCATCGAGTAATTGGTTGAAGCAAGGAACATGCTTGGCTCAACACAATGGGATGGAAGGACATGTTTGTAACCTGGGACACTGCCTGGTTACGCTGAGCGAGCAGCATCGACAACTGGCACGATTGTACGGAAGATTGAGCATGTCAGATAAGAGTGCCATGGAGTTGGTCGCAGACTGCCATGGGGTGACAGACGTAAACTTGATCACAGCCTTGGGATTTTGTAGCATGACGAGTTCGATAGAATCGCTTGAGCGCCTAGAGCGTGCCCATGAGTTAGTGACGTCCCTCAGCGTGGAGATATTCCCTGGAGCGTTACAGACAGAGCAGAAGATTGGGGGCTGGCGAGAAGCTCTAGAAAATGAAATGAATCTGAAGGATAGTGACGCCCATCACAGACCTACTGGTTCAAAATATATGGTGGGTTCAAGCTCCGCGCCATACTGTAATAGCAAGTATCCTACGCACATGGTGGTAATGGATGCGAGGACGCAACAAGTGTTGGTTGACCAACTTTTCTCAGTGCCAAAGTGCGTGAGGTTGGCCAGAATGTCGGAAAGGTCATATGACTTGTTGGCAAAGATCTTTCGGGCAGTCCCGAAGAGATCCGAAAGCAAGTTGCAAGACGTTGTGGGTGAAGATTTCATGAGACTGAACGAAGGCAATGTGAGTGAGTTCCAGAAACAGAAAGCGAGTGGAGCCTTACCCACTGAATTCCCCACAATAGAAGAAAAAGACGACTTACACAGAATTCTGATGGAAGTGGAACCGTTGCTGGGAGCCTCAGGGTATCGGACCCGAAGGAACATAGTGAGAACCCATGGGGAGTATCCTTGCCACTGCTTGGCGCAGACGTTGTGGTACCCCAAACGCGGGAATCTGATCCTAGTATGGGACGTGGAGGAGTTGTACTCCACGGGGTTGCCCGATCAGAATCAACAAGTGTCAATCGTGGTGGTTAGCGCCATGCTAGCAGTGAGATGGCTGGAGGCTAACGCGGACACAAATCAGCAGGAGACGGCCGTGCCGACTCCTGAGCAGCTGAGCAACGTGAAGATGAGTCGTGAATTGGATCTTTTCAGAACCACCTGCAAGGTTCTGAGGATACCTAAAGCCATTGAAAGAATATGGTCAAGGCAAAGATTGATGCCTTGGTTCCGTGCAGTGATGACGTCATGGATGTATGAACGCGCGAAGCGTCATATGTCGAGGAACACGGAAGCCTATCAATCTTTTCAGCTAGATATAGGACCAGGAGCCTATAAGAGAGCATTCTTGACGCACAGAAACGCGGTCACCACAGCGGTGAAGCGGGTAGCTGGAACGCCTTGTGTTACTGAAGATGAGAAGAAAGAGGTCTTAAGAGCTGACCTAGAACAAAACGTGAGCCTATGTCTTCACAACAGCTTTTGCAGGAACCGGGAGCAGAAAGTGAATGTGGACTTGCTACCTTGCTGCAAACCGAGGCTGTTGGAACAGGAGAGTTGGGGCACGGCCCGCAACTCCATGGACATGCTGGAGAAAGTGTTGGAAGACAGCGAAGATCAGGATGGAGAAGTGATGGAATGAAGATGACCAAAGAAGATGTGAGAAGGAGAGAAAACTTGATTGTATTTGTGCGCTAAAACTTAAACCAATCAACCAAGTTTTGATTATTGAACTTGTGAAACTTTTTGTTTTGATCTAGTTTGGTCAAACCAAACTTTGAAAATGTTGCAATGGTTAAAATTGTTGAAATTGTTGATTTTAGTGATGGCTATTTATGTATGTATATAAGGAGCATAGGTGAGTATATTTACCTATTTATTCACGACTGAAGTTTTTAACCTGTGTAAGACACAAATTCACTGTGTGGCGACATGGTAAGTTAGAGTAAACTCGCTCTGGAAGGGTGGGTAACTCAGTAACTTTCCTAGCCACAGAGTTTCTTGGTTTTAATATTGAAAGGAACGCATAAATGACTGATTATACTTTGTGAGTAATGTTAAGTTAATTTTAACGGGTGCGTGGCCGTGCCACGTCCCACTTTTTAATCACAAAGAGCGAAAAGAAGTTTTATGGCAAGACGACGTAAGTAGTTAGAAAAGAAATTTTATCTAGGACACTCCTCATGGTGCAAATTTTGTGAAAATGTTGAAAGGCAGTGAGATGTAGTACGATGCCATTTGTGAACACGTAGTGAGTTGAGGTGGGGTAGATAAATTTCATTTTCTTATGCGAATTGTAAGATTGATTACAAAAAACTGGATAACTACTTGACGATAACCCGGTGTTATGCGATCAATAGGGACATTGATGGGGACTGTCCGGGGAGTAAGTGCCATTCTGCCAGATGGCACAGTGCAACCTTCCGACGAAGCACGAATCAGAGAGAAAAGGCCTTAACAGCAAAAAAGTGCTTGAAAGGAGGGTCAGAATATTCTGGAATATTTATTTTTAAAATTTCGATTTTCTAGTTGATATTTCTGAGAAATACGAAAAACGGCCATTTTGAGCCAAAAAGTGACGAAAATCAGAACAACGACAGATATAGTGAAAAACAGTCGTACCAGAGACGGAAAACACGAAGCCTCTTATCGTGGCAACAACGCACGATAAGACACTTGTCAACAGATATTGGTGGAGAAGGAGGCTTCAGTGGGGGAAGAAATACACCACGGAACCCTCCCGGGACACGAATTATAAGAGATAAGAGTGTTATCTCAGGAATATTACGGGAGCGGAGGCTTGGTCCCCCAGAGACTGTTTTATGTGAAGGGACTGTGTAAACCAACTTTATAGCTGCTGTAATGTCATAGATCTTAATTAACACCGTTATTGTTTGATATTTCAGAACATGAGTAGCTAGAAAGAGGAAAGGGTCAATCCATCTCCAATGGATTTAATATAAAACTGTCACACAAAAATATGTTAAAATAGGTTGTTCGAGCCGTGTTTTTAATGACAATCACGTAGTCTGAGGATCCGAGACTCAGCTATGTGGTTGTGTTCGCATGTAAACGAAAGCTGATCAAAAGTCGTTTGACTGATGGCCTAAAAATGGTAACTTTTTACTTTGCCCTAGACAGACCAGGAAATCAACTGGCAAGGTCGAGACGGTGAAAAACGAGTAGGATTAAGGTAACTGACGCCTGCCAGTCGTTAATAGGTACTTTTCCTACGCTCCGTCGCTGTGTAGTATTTGGGCGAATGTTACAGATCTTCCTTTAATAAGCATTTTATCGTTTGTTTTTGCTACGATAAGAATCTCCGTTCTTCTTCCGTCTTTCACTCTAAATTTTGATTGATGTTTGTCTTGCAATTCAGTGGTTGTGTTTTTCAAAATTTCTCTTTTCGTATATCTCAGAAATGTTTTAGCTCGAATTGAAATTTTGGAAATTGGAAATTCTAGAGCATTCTGAGCCTCCTTTTCTCCACAATTTTGGCGCTAACGCCTAAAATGTTCTTCTCGACATGCATCGGCAGGTTCGACTGTGCTATTCCAGGGGAATTGGTATTGTTTTTGTTGTCGTCTGAATGGGCGTCTGCCGAACTAATGCATGCTGTGTGGACACTTGTCAAGCGATACTATGCTTTCGTAACACTGATTTGTTTTGAGTCTTCGTTTTCTTGAAGTTCAACATCGGCCGAGACAAACATATGAAAATTAAAATTTCATGTAGTTTTTCTTGAAATGTTTCTTGTAGTTTTTCTTAAGAGTCGATGAACGTAATGTGGCGTGTTTATATAGGTCGTGCTATTTTTTCTGGAAACCTAAATGGGCCTGACTTTTTTCAGAAAGGTAATAATGCATTTATGAATGATTCTATGTATACGCTCAGGAAAAACAATCACGGCTTAAATTTATTGAAAGCACATTCGATCAAAACAGATCATCATCAGTCTAAAAAGATCGAACAGTTGATTGTACAAACCTCCTGTTCCTAGTTAAAAAACAAAACGAGAAATGACAAGAAAAACAAGACAGATGTTAACTCTTGAGGCTTTACACATCAACAACAGAATACCCGCCATTAATCGTAAAGAGGAGTTCCGCTCACGCGAATTAGCGATCCGGGTGTAAAGTTTTTACTGTATATTTAGTAGCAAAAAGTTCGGACAGACAGAATTAATTGAAGTGAGCAATCAGTGTTTTACGACGCATGCAAAATCTGAAACAGAAACACCATGATTTTTTTGTCAGAACAACTTAAAAATGCGAGATCGTCGAATATCCGATGAGTATGCTTGTCCAATTTATATATACTGCGATGAACTTCCGGATTTTATAGGTTTTGAAGGAAACTCAGCTTTATGAACTTTCGACGTTATGTTTTTTTTTTTCAGTTTTAATTTCTGTTGATGTCTAGACAGTTGTTCTTTTTAATTTGTTTTGTCTTTCCAAACTTTTTGCAACTCTCTATATCATCTCGTTTTGATGACTCGATAACCTGTAGTCTAAGTAATATGCAAAATTTGTGTTCAATTGAAGTTCCTCTGTTAAGAGGAAGACAAACTCCAGTATCGAACAACAAAAGTGTTATGGCCACAAAAACGTGATCGACTTTTAGTTTCGAAGGTAGATTTGAATTTTCAGATTTCCCTGCGTAGAGAAAAAAACTTCAACTATTGATCCAGTCATCCAAATTGAGTAAGTTTTAATAATAAAAATTGTCAATCATAAGTTGTGCTTGAGATTCAAAGATCTGTAAGGCCTTATTTTTTCAACTTTAAATTATACAGTTGAAGTTTTTCAAAAAAGTCAATTTTCCTTTCTGTTTCCTTGCGTTCAATGACCGTCTTTTTCCAACTGTCTGTTGGCTATGTTTTCAAATTATATTTTCTAGTTGGTGGTTTCAGTCTGGTTTTCTATTCGCTAGCTTGCGATGCTTGCTTTGTATCACAAGTGTTGCTCCGCTTCGCCTCTATCTTGCAGATCAATTGCTGTTACTCATTTCCAAGTTCCAAGCAAAAACTGCTCAGGCAATCTCCTTGCTCAATAATCAGTAAAAAATGGCATTGAAAGTTAAATTTTAATTAAATCAGCTACTAGCGATGCCTTTAAGAATTACACAAAACTTGACTATCTGTTGGAATGTCATTCCGTATTGTGTTTCCAGAGTACTCCATAAGAAGTCCGGCGACCGCCTCTCCATTTCCTAAAACAAATTACGCTGTTTAAAAACTCTCGGCCTTGAAAAATCGAAATATTTTCGAAGTATCCACACCTGTAGGTAGAAAATCATTTCTTCGTCGAATTCCGAAAAATGTTTTGCAATATTTTGCAGGGAGCTATTCTCGAGCTTGTCGAGGAAAACAGCCTTAGTATCGACACTGATTCCATTCGGTGCACTGTTTGCGATGCTACTGACGGAAGCTTCTATGAAATCTTCTAGTACGTCCGTGTCTACTAAAAAAGCATTTTCCTTTGATCGGTTAAAAAAATTCATCTGATTGTTTTTATTTTAATCTTATTGTGTACCTATTTGGTTCTAATGACAGGAATTTGCGTGAGTTTTTAAAGTATTCATTACTTGGAGATGTTATTTCTGCTCAAACGAGAACGAAAGTCATAGATTAATGCCAAACTTTAGTACAATCCAGAATAGTGCTAGTGGTACAGAAAGTTCCAACCATTTTGTTGTACCTGATTGCTGTAAAGATGGGTGGTTTAGCAGGTAAGACACGAGACCGCCTGACGAAGACTCAACGGTGGCCTCATTGAACCATTTGTAGTACTTCTTCGTCCCACACAAGATCCCAAGCCAACCTAAGTTTATCCCAACAACTCATGATAAGCTATTAATTTTCTTCAAGGTCAAAAATGATTGTTGAGGAGTGTATAGAAAGCTGCGAAAAGTAGAAACAGACAGAAAAAAAACAGTCTGTCATATTTGAACTAATTTTGCATGCAACTTGAAGGTTCAAGCGACACAGAAATAATTTTTGTCTGGAAAACTAGCTTTCCAGTTAAGTCATTCGACCTTTATAGTTTATTCTGTCTGTTCCAATTGTTTGATCCTTAACATATGAGCGAACCTGATGGTGTGTATCCCTTTTCCATCATGAGGGGCACAATGTCCCTCTTCAAATTGTACGAATACTCCGCTTCTGATCTGCACGCAGATGACTCTTTGTACTTTTCAGTCACACATACAAGCACGCAAAATGAATTCTCAACCGCCTGAAAGGAGAGCGTTTCTTCTATTATTTGATACAAAACGAGAAAGTGACCACTAAAAAATTTCGAAGAGTCGGGCTCGGAGAGTAGAGGGGTGGGAATATTTTGAAAGTAAGTCTGTCTAGTAATAAGCATTTTCTCTTTTAATTGAAAGTTGCATGATTAAAACTGATATTCTAATTGTTAATTAGCGGAAGGATATAGGGAGGCTTAATAGGTTAATTGACGAATACGAACAAAATTTGAACCGAAATCTAGGACTTTTGTTTCCTGCGATTTCGAGTTTTTTTTCTACGAAACTAGAAAATTCCTTGCAAATTCGTTATTTTATTGAGTTCTTGTTTTTCCCCCGTTGTTTTATTGAGTTCTTTATGAGTTCTGAGACTGTATGTTTGTTGTATTTTCCAATAATGTTTTAAGAAGAATATAAAGAGACTCACTTCAGCCATGGAACTGAGAATCTCGGATCCCATGTTTTCCACGTCCATCCAAGTGCGAATTCCATTCGCTTTCAGAGTCGACTTCAGTTTCAACGCGAGAGGCTGAGAGGACCAATTGTAGGATATCAGCACCTTAGAAAAACACAGCTTTATTGAAGTTCTCAGATTAACTCAAGATTTTAGACTAGTTTTTTACAGGTTCCATATTCGAAACAAGTCGAGAAAAAAGTAGTTTTTTTTTCGGATTTATCTTGTATAATGAGTTTTGGCTCCGATATATCCAGAAAACGCTTGTCCTTTAATCATGAGTACATAATATATGCAAATATTTAATATGCTTTCAAAACATTAGCAATTTTTGACATTGCGAATCGTCAGAAAACAATACTCACGTGTTTTGGTGTTTTGTATTTTTCTTCTGGTGGTTTGACAGCCGAATCATGCAGTCGTTTTTTCTCCTCAAGTTCGAAGTTGATGCGCTTGCAGAGTTCTGTGATCTCGTAGTCATTACTTTTTCTCTGGTAATCATCCAGTGAGTGTCGCACGAAATTAGACAAGTCACTCCTCGCTTTGACCTGAAACAGCTATGTCTGTTTAATAGGTTACTTAAAATGTTTCAAAAAATTATAGTTTGCTTAATTGTTGAAACTAATATCGAGTGTCACTGACTATCTAATCGCAAATCAAAATTATCTAAAAGCGAACATTTCAATTTCTGAAATTTTTTCAAATACGCTTTTATGCAGTAAAAACTGTGACAGGTGATCATTTATGATTCATCATTCGACCCACTTAAGTTTTTGCTACTGCATGGAAAAAAAATAGAATCCAAAGTTTCTTCCGACTCTTTTATCTGCGTGGGCGGTGGCATGAAATTTTGCCAGTTTTGCATAAAAATGGACTTGACTGACTTTGAAACTGAGTTTGTGTAGCAGTTGTAGAATCTGAATCTTCTGGTCTCTGTGCAGTGTGTGTATGTCTAGAAGTGTGAGAAGAGCTTCGCTCACTTGCAAGTCTATCAAGATGTCTTTTGTGGTGTCATTCTCAGACACGTTGAGGAAGACTACAAGAAGTTCTTGTAGTTTGTAAGTGGCGTTTGAAATTACCACATTTGCACCCTTGCTCTGAAATGTAATATATATGAAGTTGGAATTATTAGATATAAAAGTACTAATGAATTAATTATCCAATTTATTAGTCCTGAAACTTCCCAAACAGATGCAGATGTTTCTTTAACTCCAGCAAATATCGGGCTTTAGTTAGCTAGATGGCCGTCTGGAAAAAAATTATAAGTGTTATGTTTTTGCTGATGATGCATTGAGCATACCTTGATGGTTTCGTGTAGTGCCTGCACAAGGATGTTGAGGTCCGCGGAGGTGGTGGTGAAGTCGCTCTTCCTCTCGTGGTCTGTGAGGAGAAGCAGACAAGTGAGTGCCAGGATTCTCTGGTCGAACTGGAAGTCCTCCGACATGCTTTTAATAATCTCTATGTGGGGCGCCATGTGCTTCCTGAAACACACAACGGTATAACATACACCAACTCGAATGAAAATTGACGGAAAAATTGGTGTTTTCTGAATCTCGTCAGTTGCTTAGTATCATTAATTTTGGTAATCTATCCGGACCTGGAGCTGAGTGTTTTTCCTTGGAACTAAAATGCATCGTTTTGTCGAACGGAAAAAGCTTACGTTTTTGAGCTAGATCTAGAGAGGAAGCCACAGTTCGCAGTTTGAACTAATGAGTATTTCTTCATTTTAAGATTAATCTTACCTAATTCTGTTTATGACATCCTCTGTTTTGATCAATTCGTTTTTCAAGTTGTTTTGTTGTCCAATTCCAAGTGCAAGATTTTACGCTGAAAATAGTGGACCTGGTCCTATGGTCCCGTTTTTTTGTTACCTGATGGGGAACTTCATGTCTGGATCTGAGCTGAGGGAGTTCCAGATGATGCTGAGACACCCCCCGAACATCTTCTGTCGGATGTCCTCGCTGAGGAACTGCTCGTTGCAGTAGAGGGGTCCCAGCCAGGACAGAATGTACTCTATGATGTGTTCCTTCAGCAGTGCCTTGTAGTCCATCGTGAAAGTATCTGAAGATACACACACACACGACATAATACAAGAGAATACAGGAGGCATAGCTATTTCAATGGTAATTGACTCCACCATCGGCTGCAATATCATGAACCAAAACGAACACATCGAAAATGAATTGCCAGTACAATAAAATCACTACTAGAGTGAATCGTGTTCCGACATCGTTGCCATTTTCATGGTTTTTTCAGAAAAGTAATTATCTCTTATTTAGATCGTGAGCAATTTTGAAGAGTTTTGATTTTCTGTTTCACACTTGTTTATTTTGCAACAATACATCGATTAGTTTCATACCCAAAGTAAACATCAAGGCGTCTCTTGATGCTTTTTGCGTAGACATGCTAGATTTAAATTCATCTTTTGTTGTTCATTTTATATGTCAATACCGAAATGATTGTGTTTTGTTTTCTGTGCATGGGCTTCTAATCATTATGGCGATTTGTCCACAAAGTAAAGATCCAACGTCTGTTCAGCTCTTACGGAGAACTGCTGTTGTACCCCTGGTTAAGAGCTGCACGCATGTTTGGGCTGGGTAATATTTCCTCATCTTCAAGCAACCAGCATAGACTCTGGAGGGTTTTGAACCACCGACCTCTATGAATAGAGGTGGAGACCTTAGCCACTTCACCTCCGCTATCTAATTGATATATGAGTGTGCATCCGAATAATACCTGATGTGAGTGACCATAGTGCAGTGATAGATGGGAGTGCGAGTTTGTTTAGTTTGGAGTTGATCCTCGTCTTCTCAAACAACTCTTTTTTCAGCTCCTTGTTGAATTGTCCAATCATTCTTACCTCCCCCATCACACTCTTCTCCACGTGTCCAAACACAGCCTGCAAAACAACATCACATCAAAAATGGAGGGGGAGGGGCTGCTAGGTCTACATTACTTATAGACAATGGAGCGAAATGCACAATCTTTTAAGCCTTTGAAGTCTAGAGAACTAAAGAAAGTAGAAGGTGTTTTTGCCGCTCTGTTTTCAGAAAGTCCGCATAGAATGAAATAAATTAAATTGTTGAAAATAATTAGCTAAATCCTGCATATAATTTTTCGCTTTTTGTTTCGAAAAGCAAACCATGGCGTAGGACATTTTTTTCTGAGCCGATTGGTAGTAAATCGAATTCGAATATTATTATTTGTTCCAGTTTTCAAGAAAACTTTGATTTTTAGTTTTCCAGCGCGAATTTGATTTTTCAATCGAATTGTGTTTTTTTTGGTAAAACATTACTAAACTAATTGTGGAGTTCTTAATAGCTCCACATCCCGCTCTTAAAAAAAGTAGAAAAAATGAGGATATTTTCTTGTTTTTTGTTCGAAATTTTCTGATGTGGTCGGAATATTCTGTGCTACAGTCACGGGACTCAGAAGTGTTGCGACTTCAGTTCTTAAGCGCGAACATGAACGAATTTTTTTTTTCATGTTTGTGCAGATTTCTCTATATCTGATAAAGATTCACGGTCAATCTTTTTTAGACACTAGCTGGAATGATTTTAAGGCTTATTTTAAAATGATTTTAAGGCTTATTTTGGCCATTTAATTAGAGGGAGACAGAGAAGTGTTCTTAATGCCAAAACTTCCCTGTAAACAGAACAAGCACTTTAAAATTTTGGACCTATAAGTATTCGTTGGAAAGCTAAGGTTCTCAGCTAGGCCATCTTATTAGTTTTTCCTTTCTTAAAAAGGAATATAAGAAGTTACTCAGCTACGGAACAAAATTAACTCAGATTTTGTGCATTTAACCATATGAATTGCTGAAATTTCAGTCAACTTGTGTCTAAAAGCTTAACAAAATCTTCAGTTCTTTCTTATGTGAAGAATACCTATATGAGGGCCCAGCTGAAATCTTAAGCTTTCCAACGAATACTTTAAGGTCCAAAATTTCAAAGTGCTTGTTCTGTTTGCAGGGAAGTTTTGGCATTAAGAACACATATCTGTCTCTCTCTAATTAAATGGCCAAACGAAGCCTCAAAATCAATTTTTATGGTTATTATTCAGCTATCGTCTAAAAAAGATTTTCATCTATTGTCAAATTTTCAACCGTAAATCTATATTAGATATAAAGAAAATTGCACAAACGTGAAAAAATTTTCGGTCATTTTCTGGCTGAAAACTAAAGTCCCGTGACTGTACACACAGCAACCGGCTATCCTTGTTTGTTTGTGAATTTTCAACTTTTCGTTCAAAGATGCTAAGTTCCAAATGATATGACTCTAAATTTTGCCAGTCTCGAGTGATGCTTTAGCCAAAATAAAAACAGAAAATTAATTTCTCATTGACTGAAATTAGTCTATACTATATCGTGGGCCCACCTGGAACACCTCGAATTCGCCCCCTCGGCAGAAGTCCTTTCTGAACTGACTGTCCCTGCATGCTGTCTCCAGGTCTCGCATGATGGGGATCCAATAGTCCTCCTCCTCAATCTTCGCCTTCACACTGTGCATTTTGTGTGCCCAGAACTGCTCCTCGAATTTGGGCTTCATTTCAAATTGCGGCTTTGCAAAAAAATTCGCAGAAACTGTTTTGTGAAAAAAAGAATTGGGTTTTTATAAAATAGTGTCTTGGAAGGATTCAGGATTCTTCTGGTAATTTCAGATAATTAGAAATAACAGATAATTAGAAATATCATTGATTTAATTAGAAAGTTAAATCAATGATAAATTAGATAAAATGGCAAATGTTTTTTTTTGAAGTTGGTCCGGGAAGCGAATAGGAATAAGTGTCGCTCTTTTCCCCTTTTTTTGCAAAGATGCGAAATATGTAAATTTTAATTACAAAAGGTGGACTTTTATCAGATTTTGTTGAAAATAACTGAAAATTATCATGTAATGCAAAGCTTAATGGAAAACAGTCAGTATTGGAAAGCAGTTTAGACTGAGTAAAAGAGTTATTTTGACTGAAACGTATCGTGCCATATTGGATTTCATGTCGAACTAGTGCTAGCTTATTTTATGACATTTGTAACCCGAAACTGCGAAATGGCAATCCGTAATCCAACCGGGTGTAATACTCTTCTGGTCCGACAACTGTAAATCTCCTGCAGTTTACACAGTCATTTAGTTCAAGTATCGCATTCAGTTTGCGTTCCTCCAATCCGTATTTTGTAATAGCGTATGCTACCCTTTTGCAACGAGCTTTTAACTTCCGTAAATGAATATTTTCATTTGGTAATTGCAACAAAATGCATCCAAAGACGCTTCAATTGGGATGTGCCATCAGGCAAGTAGTTGCTAAATAAAGTAAATTTTAATAGAATGAATACTAATTGATTCGTCGGTTAAATTTTTGATGTTTTGTTTTGAGCAAAGCCATTCCTTTTCCATATTTATTGACTCGTGCTTTGTTTAGTATAACGGTAGAATGTCAAATTGACTGCTACCAAATATTACTTGCGATATGGGAAATTAAAAAGGAAGGAAGAATTCTGGAAAAATGCTGAACCAAGCAAAAAGCAATATAATTGTTGTCACTCTAAGGAATTTCAATCTACTATCGAGCAAGAACTAGAGTTTAATTCTGAATGTCTTTGTAAAAGCAAATGTCCATCGCCCTCATTGGAAAATGTCTTATGTATTTTTGGCTAAGGTAAGTTGTACACAGTCAGAAAATTAAAGTAGTTATCTTTTACCGAAATCTGTATGATATGATAAGAATTCTTAGCTAGAGCTTGCAATGATTTTCTGGTGGTCATTTTTTGCGAATGACACTGGGACCCCTCCAACCATGACCCAAGTGGGGTTCCAAAACACGAACCTCAAGTTGAGAGACGCGTGCCTTACACGCTCCGCCATGGCCGCTCGAAGTATTTTATCTATTATTTTGATTTAGTGGCTTATGTGACTTTTCTATAGGTCGCGATGATTTTTTTTTGTTTTATCTTTTCGCGGTTTGACTTTTGATTTCTTTTTAAGTTCCGTTCATTTTCTTTGTTAAAACAAAGGAAAACTCCACTATCGAACAGCAAAGATCACAAAAAAGGTGATCGACTTCCAGTTTTGAAAGTGAAAGTTAATTTTGAGATTTCCCGGTGGAATAAACAATTTATCTATTAATCCAGTTTTCTCCAATTTGACTAATTTAATAAAAATGTCAATCACAAATTGTTATGGAAATTCAAAGAGTTTCTCGGGCATCCATTTTTTTTTTGAAATTCAATATGTTTGTTTTTGTTTGCGTCCATGGACTCTTTTCCAACTGTTTGTTGGCTATGTTTTTCAAATTCATATCAATTTCTTTTGCCAAATGAAAGGCAAAGTACGATCTTCAATCACAAAAGTGAGGCATTTAGTTTCAAAAATGGACTTTAATTTTCGGAATTTCTTGCGGAATGAAAAAAATGAGCTCATCCAGTTTTCTCTAATTGGGTTAATTTATGCTAAAATTTATCAATCATTAAAGTTTCTTGAAATTCCAAGAGCTTTATTTTGATGTATTTTTACTTTAAAAATTTGAAAAGGTTTTATAATAAAACAATCAATTTTTTAAAATTATTTTTGAGTTGTTGAGTCTATTGGCTAATCACTGTCGTAAATTGTTGAGTTTTACTCGGCCGATCTTGTGAGCGCAGGTTTATTCAATCTGTCTACTTGGTTTCCATTCAAACTTGCAGGTTTTAAAACAAAATTTTTCTAAAAAAATCACTGAAATAGTTTTTTTGAGGGATATTTCGTAGGCGCTTTGAAATCATTGTCGCCCTGAGCTCAAATATAAATGATATTGAAACTGTATTTTTTGTAAAATTTTGGAGATTCGAAAATTGGCAATTTCATAGTTTCTTTGATGATTTTAGTTTTATCTTCCTCATTGATTCTTCTTCTGGGAGTGTGTCCTACTGCTGTTGTCAATCAACTCTTTTCCATTTAATTCTGCGTTCTTTACGATCGCGATTTGCGCAATTTGCTATAATCAAATCGGATTATAGACTTTTTCAGGCCAACAACTTAATTGAAAAATCACTGAATCTTAGTGGCATGTTCAATTTTCAATGCTGCTGGCATGTTCAATTTTTGAAAATTCAAGCTGAACTACGGGCTTAATACTAGTAACTTTTGATGTATGCTATATCTGAGGTGCTAACCATTTTGTGCTTAATAGATTTCCGATATCAATTTTGTGATGACCTTTTTCGGCTTCTTGTTTGTCGACTTAAGCACTGTCGGAATTTTCCCGAATAGTTAAGTGCGTGTTCGTATGCAAAAACCGTGTATAGGAACTTAACAAGATTTTAATTCAATTTTTTATACAATTTTTTTCAGATTTATTTAAAAATTTAGATTCGGCTTTTTGGGTATTCGGCTATAATTATTTCGGCTTAGTTTCCTTTTAATTACAACTTCTACATCTTGTCAGGCACAACTTTCGTATTGTTCGCTAAAAAAACATCAGCCTATCGTTTGCCTGATTACTTTTTTTTCGGCCTAGTTGCCAAAAAATTATTTTTTCAAAGCAATTTCTACTATAATTAAAAGAATTTTGATTATTCCGAATAATTTTTATACTCATCATCCCTGATTTTATACAATTTTCTTTTTTTGAAAAATCTTTTTTGTCATATTTCTCGCATAAAAGCTTTATTTGGTGCCAATAGCTCCCGCCTCCATTATATCGGCCAATCATTAAGTATTGCGTTGCTTGAAAAGAAAATTTTATATCTTTTTGCGAGAGGGGGTTGTCCACTTTTCGATGATTTTCAAACGATTTTTAGATGTAGTAGCAAGCGGTAGCAAATCTAGATAAACATCTTTCAGATTAACAATTTAATTTGAAAAAGCATTTGAATGTTCTGAAAGCTTGGATTGTATTAAGTCAATTTTCGTAGGTTTTGCACTTTGGTGTTGAGTTAACAACTATGCCTGGGACTGCAAAGGTCCTAGGTCTAAATCTGACCTGGTCTTTTTTTTAAATCAAACGGGAAACGTTTCGTTTAAAAAACTGTTGGATTGATATCTGTCTGCTCTTCTTTTGTCAAATTAGTTGCCACATCACGTTTTGTTGATTAATTTTGTTTTTGATTTATTCCTGTAATTTGAGAATTAAACAAATCTGATTTGTTTTGTTTTTGTTTTGTGTTCAGCTAGAAAGATTTTTTTGCCTCATTTTTTTCGGCTAACTTTTTAAAATTGTTTTATTGGTCTTCTTTTGCGAGAAAAAAAGAAAAATTAGATTTTCATCCTTCTGAGCGTTTCCGAGGGGGGTGGGTGCGTGCGTGCATATGTAAACGTTAAGAATTTCCAAACTCAAAAACTTTTTCATGCTGACAATTTTGTTTTCGGCTCAACAGGCGTGTACCTCAGTACTGTCGGCTTAACTGCCGCTCAATAATTTTTAATTTTTTGAATGTTTCTTCAAGGCTGGTGTCAAGGGGGCTCATGGTAAAAAGCTGGCGTCTACCGCAATAATTTTGGTTTTGTTGCCGTTTTAACGCTAACAATTGTAATTCTCGATATTTGTGTTTTCTTCAAACCGAACTTTTTCCGGGACAAATATATGAAATTTTTGTAGATGTAATTTCACATTTTTTCAATTTTTTTTAATCGACACAATGGCTTTCTTCTTATGTTTTGTCCGGTTTTTTGCAATACCTTATTTGTGTGGTATCGCAAGTTGTTACAATTCTTGTGTCGCAAGAAGCTCTGTGCTAACAATTCTGTCCTTGTTTCAGAGTCTCATCTGCTTCTGTTAGATAAGCGTATGTTATTCTCTGAATCCTGAAAGTACAATGATCGGAGCCGTTGTATTAAACTTGCCAGTAGTTTGGGGCATTTGTGACTTCTAGTTTATATAAACTAGTTTGAATGCTTGAAGTTTTTCATGGATGGTATTTAGTGGTCTTAAGGAAATTGGTAAAATTAATTTGACCCTTTTTGGCAGTTTATAGGTCTGGTAGATTGAATGAAATAATATTCAGGGAATCATCGGTTATTTGAGTATGTGACAAACTAGGTGAATAAGGCTAAGAATACTACAGGTCTTGGTTTTTCTGCCTTAGTTTCCGTAATATGGCAAATTGACAGACAAGAACCCTTTGCAAGATTAAGATCGATCGGTCGGTGGTAACATGTGAACATAGACCTAGAGATGTTGCTGTTCTGTCCTTTTAAGTTCTTATGTGATTCCATGTGATTTGTTTACTTATGTTGACAAATAACAAATGAACAAACATTTGATGCGAAAGTGAAATAGATATATTAGTATCTAGCAGTTTTAATGCATCTCTTCAGAAATCAAGATCTTAAAATGGCGATCAAACTGGGAATCTATTACTTGTAAGCGAAGCGCAATTATGAGTGATTCAATCTTCTTATTTGATCATTGACTCTTTTTCGGATGTTTTCTATGTTCGAATTATACTATTGTTTGTTACATAAATTGTTGATGTGAGTTTTTCGCATAATTTAGTCTTTATTTAGACTGGATTTCAGGTAGAGTAATGTCTTCTTCTAAGTTCGTCCTCTCGTATCAGATGTTGAACTTCGGAGGGTTGGCAGTGGCCGCCCTCCTCCTGCTAACTTCTCCCCATCTGTTGATTCTGCTCATTGGGGGTCTGGTGTCAGCCGGAGTATTTCTGGACTCCGATGTGTCCATGAAACTGATGGAGAGATTTGGACGAAAACCGGGTAAGATCACGCCTCTCATGAATTCATAGTTATTGATATACTATGGAATAAAAATATACGTATGTTTAAATTAGAGTTTATCCAGATTACAAAAGAATGTGACCGTGATTATGATGCGCCATTGCATGCTGCTACTGTCTATGGAATTTTCAAACAAATTTGGGAATTTTTTTGGACGGTCCTTTTCTAATGTTTAAATTCTCTTACTATCAGATGTTATGTAAGTTTAAATCAGTGTGAAGTAATTGTCTAGTAGTCGCTCGTAACTATTCTTGGTTTTCACATGTTCAAAATTTAGGTAGCATAGTTTCTTTTCAACCATTAATTACCTTTTTTATTAAATACCTTTTTTTGTTGTTAAATGATTAATTTGAGCTAACTTGATTAATTAGTTGTTTATCTAGGGCCAACATCGTAAGGGCCTTGTGCCTAGCGTTAGTGCTAGGCGGACAAAATTTTATTGATTATAAATTTGAATTGCTCTAAATGTCATTGATAATGTCCGCTGGAATTTTTAATTTAATTTAATTTAGATTTGAAGGACCCCAACAATTGAAGCACGCCAGAACTTGCAGAAATTGTTTTTTCTCTCACGATATGTAAACGCTGAATATGATTTTAATTCCACAGTTGAGCAAAAATTGAAATAAATTGTTGTTCCGACCAGTGAAAATGGGGAGAAACTTTGCATTTTTTTATTGAGGTTTTCATTTTCTACAATTTTCACATTTAATTTTCTCATTTCCGTACTTATTGCTTTTATTGAGTTACTAACCGATAAGGTGTACCTCTAAAGCTTGGACTTTTGTTTTTGAGTGAGACTGTTCCGAAGTCTTCCAGTTTGACGGAGTCTTTGATATTGTCTACATTTGATGTGCGTCTTAAATTCAGCTTTGTACTGGATCCGGCTAATCTACGAGCGATATTTTAGAAAATTTGAGCTAAATTTTTATTTTATTAAAAAATCGGATCTGATCTAATTCAAAATTTAAAACCCCTTTTTCATTTTATTGTTCCGATCATTTGAAAAAGCGAAAAAAATTTGTATTCGGATGTTTTAGTTTTTTCTCCTTTTTTTTTGTTTTCCACGCAAAATCAGGTACCTCAAATAATCATAGGAGATATTTGAGGGATATATTATGTTAAAGCCCTTACAGTCGTGATTCAAACGGCGTTAAAAATTTCAAAATTTGTCAAATGCTGAGAAAAACCGTTTTTGAAATCTTTGATTTTTCGTTTTAATTCGAGTGAATAAAGCGCGCGAGCAGGCTTACAATAGCTTAATTTAATGGCCTGAAAGTTTACAATAGCTCAATTTAAAATGTTAAACGTTAGTTTTTGCGCGTATTTGAGTATTTTTGCGCCCTTTTTGAATCAAAAATTCAAAACACTTCAAAAAAAAACTTCTTTTTGGATAATTTTTGAAAATTTTTTCTATAATATTTTTCGTTGTTCTTTTCATCTTTCCCCAAAAATTGTTTTTACCCTTGCAATGAGCAAGGGTATTGCAATCGGGTACTAGACTTTTTCGCCGAAAATAACTTTGTTCACAGAATGGTCAAAATTAGAGATGGTAAGTTTAAGTTCAGTTTATAATGAATTCAACTTTTTTTCGCTTAAAAACTTTATTCTGCCCAAATGATTTCGACCTATTTTTTGTAATCGGCGTAGGGACTTAATTTGGAGTCGTTTCAATGTAAACATTTTTTATGCTCACCTCTGGATCGCACGAAATGCTAAAATCTTAATAGAATTTTTAGTTCAAGTTTATCATAACAACAATTTTTTTCGGCTTGATAGGTTTCGTCTACATAATAGCGGCTTAGCTCTCTCATAGTGTTTCATTTGACGAGAAAATAAAGTTTTTTGAATGTTTTGAGGGTGAGGGGGCTATTAACTAAGTCTTGAGTCTTGTTGGCTTTTTTCGGCTTAAAGTGTTTCTGCCAAAGTATTTTCGGCTTTGTTACTGCCAGAGAAATTATCTTCGATGCTAATTTCATATTCTATTGTCTCGGCATTTTTGTGTTTCAAAAATAGCCCTATTCATTGTGATAGATTTAGTTTTTCCGATATTTTCGATGTGTTATGTTGTATCGCAAGTTATTTGAAGCTCAGATTCGCTTCTGTGTTCAATTTGCTTATTTTGCGATGATTGTCGAATATGCTTAGTCTCTAGTTGTTCGTTCAGCTCCTTTTATCACATACAGTCGAACAAAACGGCACTAATTTGAAATATAATATAATTTTTTGATGCTGTTAATATTTTGGATGAAAAAGAGTCAGTTTTTTTATTCCAGATGGTTACTACGCTCCGCTCTCAACCCCCGTGGGTTAAAACTATACAGCTACCTACTGCTTGTCTATTTCATATGATAGTTTTTTGTCTGTTTTTCAGAAGATAGTTATCTGAAGGGGGCTGTTGTGTGGATCACTGGTGCATCCTCCGGAATAGGGGAGGAGTTGGCCTACAGACTGAGCACAGCCGGAGCTCATCTGGTTCTGTCTGCCAGGAACGAAAAGGACTTGGAGGCAGTGGCTGAGTCCTGCAGAGGTCAGTGTCTATACCCTCTTTCTGTTATCAAATTTGGAGTTATGATATGAGCCAACCCATAATACGTAGCAGTTGGAAAATTTCACTCGCGAGAGCAAGTGTCTTCTAATCGGGAACTAGACTTTTTACACGTAAAATTTTTTTCTTACGAGCCAAAGTTCGAGGGTTTTATTCCCGGTCGGACCTTGTTTCTTTTTTTATTATGTATGTATGTGTACCTGGTACCTTGATTTTTTATTGAATCTCGTCACCTTACAAGGCACTTTCCACTTGGTCTAGAGGTAAAAACGCTACTTCGGAGCATTAAGTCTGGGGTTTCATCCCCAGCAGGACAGTTTTTATTGAGATATGAAAGAAATTGACCTTGCTTTTTAATGGAACCTCAAGTCCCTCTCTTTTGATCCAGAAGTAAAGCACATGCCTTCGGAACAGAAGTTCCAGGATTGGAATCCCGGCCGGACCTTCTCTTTCTTTCTTTCATTCTGTTGAAATTATTTTTTAAAAGTTGAGTTGTCGTACTATCGTTTGTCTACTTATTTTTTGTCGGCTTACTGTCTAAATCAGGGATTTTTTACTTCAAAGCATCAATATCTTTTTATTTTAACAGTTTTAACTACAATTGAAAACTGTTTTGTAATCTGTCGGTAAGTTAACCAATTTTGATTTTGTACAATGTGCTGATTTTTTGCAGTTTTTTTGTTTTTTTAAATGGGTTCGTCCTTTAGTATATGACTTGTTTAGTTTGCGTCGCTTAAGCAAAATAGATTGTTCTGTTTTTCTGTGTTTCAGAGAATACAGCGTAAATCGTCGAATATCTAAATTTTACAGCTCATAATTTTCTTGTGATATCATTTTGTTTTCGGCTCAATTGGCGTCTACTAAAGTATTGTCGGCTTAGTTTCCGCTCGGTAAAAAATTTTGAATATTGCATAACGGCGGTGATTGTTTTTCTTGCCATATTTTTCTCAAATTGACAATTATTCCAGCAAGTTTATGGAATTTTTCAAGAGTTTTTTTCGAATTTTCAAAAGTTGTTTCTTCGACTTAGTTGCTTCAGTCTCATTTCGTGTCTTCTATTTTACAATGCTATCTTAGTGTTGTTTGGCAAGTGTTGCAAAGCTCTGCTTCGCCTCTGCGTTTTTTTGTACAATTTTTTCTTACAAAGTTTGAGTTTGAAGAATGAAAATTGAGTTCATTTAACTGAGGACAACATTTTCAAGATGATTGACATATTTCTGGCTGGTTTTCATATTCTGTGCAATTTTGGTCAGTTTATATTTGGACCGGTTTTTTTCTTCACATTCGTGAATTCCACTCTAGAACCATGTTAATTCGCCTCAAGTTGCCCGTTAGATGGAGGGGACAAAAAGGATGGAAAGTCTTAAGAGTCTAGGCTTCTTCGACCTCTCTTTATCTGACAAATTGACAAATTGAGATGGGTTTATATTTCTACACGAAATGTGGGAATTAATGTAAAATAGACAGCAGAATCCAATCCCTAAAATAACACAATTATTTTGTTTTTCCAACATTTTTATGTAAATTGCTGATTGTGGTCTGCGAAATAATAACGGAAAAGACTTGAGTCTATTGCCATTAATTCAATTGTACTCTTACGCAGAATCAGGTCTTGAACAATCTTTTCTTCCCCTTCTATGGTACCTATTGTAGAATCTTCGTCGCCACATAAAACTTGTTTCCAATACAAATCTATTTGTACAGTTCCTGTTTGATAAAAACAGGTATTATGAAAATGAATGAGATGGGGTTTTTTATTTTAATGTTTTTGAGACGCTTTGAAATTTTTCACTTTTCTCAAACATATTAGTTTTTCTCAAAGACTACTTTTTCGGTTTCCGAAAAAGTGTTTTCAATTGAAAGAGGGCCTACTCCCCTGTGTGACTGCATATACCTCTCAATATTTATGAATTTTTTTTCTCATTTTTTTCTTCAAAAAATAACTTTTCCAAATCTAAGACATTGGGTTAAATCGATAGAACAGGTTCTGAGAAGTTCTCCTGCATAAGCAGTTACGCCCTAATTTTTTTCCACAAAAAATAGCTTTTCCAAATCTAAGATATTGGGTTAAACCGATAGAACAGGTTCTGAGAAGTTTTCCTGCATAAGCAGTTACGCCCTAATTTTTTTCCACAAAAAATAACTTTTCCAAATCTAAGATATTGGGTTAAATCGATAGAACAGGTTCTGAGAAGTTGTCCTGCATAAGCAGTTACGCCCTAATTTTTTTCCACAAAAAATAACTTTTCCAAATCTAAGATAATGGGTTAAATCGATAGAACACGTTCTGAGAAGTTCTCCTGCATAAGCAGTTACGCCCTAATTTTTTTCCACAAAAAATAACTTTTCCAAATCTAAGATATTGGGTTAAATCGATAGAACAGGTTCTGAGAAGTTCTCCTGCATAAGCAGTTACGCCCTAATTTTTTTCCACAAAAAATAACTTTTCCAAATCTAAGATATTGGGTTAAATCGACAGAACAGGTTCTGAGAAGTTCTCCTGCATAAGCAGTTACGCCCTATTTTTTTTCCACAAAAAATAACTTTTCCAAATCTAAGATATTGGGTTAAATCGATAGAACAGGTTCTGAGAAGTTCTCCTGCATAAGCAGTTACGCCCTAATCTTTTTCCACAAAAAATAACTTTTCCAAATCTAAGATAATGGGTTAAATCGATAGAACACGTTCTGGGAAGTTCTCCTGCATAAGCAGTTACGCCCTAATTTTTTTCCACAAAAAATAACTTTTCCAAATCTAAGATATTGGGTTAAATCGATAGAACAGGTTCTGAGAAGTTCTCCTGCATAAGCAGTTACGCCCTAATTTTTTTCCACAAAAAATAACTTTTCCAAATCTAAGATATTGGGTTAAATCGACAGAACAGGTTCTGAGAAGTTCTCCTGCATAAGCAGTTACGCCCTATTTTTTTCCACAAAAAATAACTTTTCCAAATCTAAGATATTGAGTTAAATCGATAGAACAGGTTCTGAGAAGTTCTCCTGCATAAGCAGTTACGCCCTAATTTTTTCCACAAAAAAATAACTTCCAAATCTAACATATTGAGTTAAATCGATAGAACAGGTTCTGAGAAGTTCTCCTGCATAAGCAGTTACGCCCTAATCTTTTTCCACAAAAAATAACTTTTCCAAATCTAAGATATTGGGTTAAATCGATAGAACAGGCTCTGAGAAGTTCTCCTGCATAAGCAGTTACGCCCTAATTTTTTTCCACAAAAAAATAACTTTTCCAAATCTAAGATATTGGGTTAAATCGATAGAACAGGTCCTGAGAAGTTCTCTTGCATAAGCAGTTATGCCCTAATTTTTTTCCACAAAAAAATAACTTTTCCAAATCTAAGATATTGGGTTAAATCGATAGAACAGGTTCTGAGAAGTTCTCCTGCATAAGCAGTTACGCCCTAATTTTTTCCACAAAAAAATAACTTTTCCAAATCTAAGATATTGGGTTAAATCGATAGAACAGGTTCTGAGAAGTTCTCCTGCATAAGCAGTTACGCCCTAATTTTTTTCCACAAAAAATAACTTTTCCAAATCTAAGATATTGGGTTAAATCGATAGAACAGGTTCTGAGAAGTTCTCCTGCATAAGCAGTTACGCCCTAATTTTTTTCCACAAAAAATAACTTTTCCAAATCTAAGATATTGGGTTAAATCGATAGAACAGGTTCTGAGAAGTTCTCCTGCATAAGCAGTTACGCCCTAATTTTTTTCCACAAAAAATAACTTTTCCAAATCTAAGATATTGGGTTAAATCGATAGAACAGGTTCTGAGAAGTTCTCTTGCATAAGCAGTTACGCCCTAATTTTTTTCCACAAAAAATAATGGCCTTCGAAAAGTCAAACTAATGACCGATTTTTTAAACTTCAACCGATTTTTTCTTGAAAACTGTCCTCCCAAATCTGATTTTTTGTTATAGAAATGTAGAAATGGTAAATAGTTGAGGTAATTTCCCCTGCTTTAGCGGCTACGCCCAATTTTTTTTATAAAAACTGTTATCGTCCTCGGAAAAGTCATATTTGTGAATTTTTGACCGTTTTTTGAAACTTTCACTGTTTCCGAAAACTACCCTACCACATCTGAGATTTTGTATTCAATGAAGAGAATGAGTTGTAAGAAGTTAATCCTCTTGCATAAGAAGCTAAGCTCTTTTATAAGAAGATTTTTTGACTTTCTTCGAAAATTACCCACCCAAATGTGAGATTTTGGATTCAATCAAAAGAAGGAGTTTAAAGAAGCTCATCTGTACCAGCGGTTACGCCCAAATTTTCATACTAAAAAGTTAAGCTTTCAGAAAAGACAAGGTTTTGATTTCTTGTTCGTTTTTTTTTAAACTGTTTGGCTTTTCTTGAAAACTGCCCATTCGAATCTGATTTCAAGGTTTTACTCAAGGCAACAGTTCGACAGAAACCTCCGTGGATAAAAGGTTACTCCTTTAAAAATGGAAGAAAAGTCTTCTGTCCTTGGGATATTTCCAAACTCTTAAAAACATTAACTCATACTTATTTCATTAGAAATAACTACGCTTTTAGGTGAAGCCCAATTTTAAGTTTTTGATTGTACCCATTTGATCCGGCGTTAGTACAGGAAATTAAAAAATATAAAACAGGTACCTTCAGCTTTATGTGGGCCCCTAGTTTAATACGCGCTAAATTAGTGGATCGAGATATTTCACGTTTCATCCCTAAAACAGTAGTTAGTGGGAGGTGTTGATCGAGTTCGTAGGTAAAAAATTAACATTTGAGGAATGAGCTTGCTGTATTTTTTCATGAGTATTTAGAAACTTATATTATTCATTCAAACAGGTTTTCTGAGGTTGACATATTGAGACATCGGATTAATTTTTATTACTAGTTTCAAAGTATTGAAGCATTGATTTCACCTTAGAGTTGAACTGATTTCTCAATTAAAACGGAGATTCAAGAGTTATTGCCAATGATTAGTAAAATAGATCGGTTTCAAAAA